CCCAAAACCATTATACCAAACATGTCCTAAATAATAAAAAGAATGTTATCTCCTATTATATAACCTAAAATTAAGAAAATATTAATTATACCCTTAATTTGTATCATAACAGCATAGGTTATCAAAATTCTTAAAAAGAAAATGATTTTGGAACAACTTTTTTGTGCCACCTTCCATTTAAATAAGGTTGAAACTCTTTCTTGGTCCCTGAACTATTATATAAATTCTCAATTTGGTCCTTGAACTAAAAAAATTCCTAATTTGATCCTTATTATTTACTATTTTAACCTCGATTTGGTCCTTCCATTAAATATTTGCCTACGTGTCCCGTTACCTGACGGGAAAAGGATGATATGTAAAAGTATTTTGACACATAGGATATACAACACAGCAAAACAATGAGATGGCAAGAAAAAAACCTTAAAAAATTTCCTTTTCTTTTCTTTTTCTTTCTTTGTTTTTCCTTTTTCCCTTTTTTCTTCCTCTCCCTTTCCTTTCACCTTGTGCAAATCGAAACACCTTCTAATATTAAATTTGAGAATAACACAACAAATTAACATATCGAACTTAATAGATACATCAACCCAACGGCTGTTGGGTTCGAAACGGAAACCAACACCTATGGGGTTTGATCACTTACTGGGTTCAAAATCGAACCCAACACCCGCAGGAATCCAAGGATAACACAACAAATTAATAGATCGATTAACAGATCCAACTCAACAAATTCATCGACCCAATGGCTGCTGGGTTCAAAACGGAACCCAACGCCTATTGGGTTCAATCACTTGCTGGGTTCAATTCAAACCCAACACTTGTAGGAACACAATGGCTGCTAGGTTTCGTCAATCCAGCAATTGTTGGGTTTGAAATGGAACCTTGGAACCCAGCAGCTGTTGGGCTCGAAATCAACCCAAGCAGTTGCTGGGTTTGCAAAAGACACAAAGGAAAGGAAGATGAAAGAGAAAGGGGAAAAGGGAGAGAAAAAAGAGGTTCACTGAGTTGGAAACAGAACCCAATGGCTTCTCAATTTGAAATCAAACCCAGTGACTATTGGGTTTGAAATCGACCCCAACGGCTATTGGGTTTGTAGAAGGCACAAAGGAAAGGAAGATGAAAGAGAAAAGGAAAAAGGGAGAGAGAAATAG